CCCATCCTCATATATAAATATATTTGCATATGTACATGTCTTTATCTAGACCTCTATAAATGCCCTTTGCCTCCCAACTCTTTCCTCTATTCCCCCCCAAAAAAAACAAAACCAAACCTAATTAGCCTTAATAAACATTCTTAGCTTTAGAAATATGAAGTTAATACGTCATGCACTTGAAGATTTACTTTGTGTTCGTTAGTATTTTTTATGGAATTATTGTATGGGAATGTTTCTTTTAGAAAGTTCCCATAGTTAAAAGTCTGTGGATCTTTTAATAAACACGTCTTCCATGTATTTTGCCGCTGAACTTTTTGGACACTTAGAGGCATCCTTTGTCTCCACAGTTTTCCTCCCTGCGTTCACTAGTAGTAAATAGCTTTTAGTGATCGCCCTAGACAAACAACCAGATGTAAAGACCTTCTGAGAAGAGAAGGTCAACGGAAACACGGACTGGGCCTCCTGGACTGTGACAGACACTCTGGAGTGTGAGCGGATGACCTCCCTCTAACAGTCGCAGACAACCATCCTCTAGGACAGCTTTTGAAACAGACTCTGTTTAGAATTTGGTCGTTAAAAACGGTCTTCAAAACATTGCGGATATAAAACAGAAACTCAGCATCACTGATAAGCAATGTTGTGGTACCGGGGCTCATGAAGGTGGGCTATCATTCTGCTTCTGCAGGCCTCTAATTATCAGGTTTACCACGGACTTCCTAACAGTTAGAACTGCTCAAAACAATGTGCAGAGATAACTGCACTATCAGGCTTTGCCTTTTTTTTTTTTGTAAATATTAAGACCTGCGTACAAAATGAGGCTGTACTGTGGATTAAGTGAAATATCTCAAGGCTGTGCTGTTCTGATAGCTGAACCTGAAGTGACCTTTCTCAGACACAATTACAGAGCTGTATGTTTTTCCTTTAATTTCATCAGGGGTTTAATTAGTATACAAATAAAACTTCCCTTATCTTCCTTTCTACCTAATTGGCTTGTCTTCGCTTCTATATGAAGTATGTGAAAGTGGGCTGTAATGAGGGTGACCGAGTTCACCTTTTTTCCTCAAATGTACTGTTGCCTAAAGGCCTCAAGGCCTAAAAACAGCGCTTTGGATTATTGCTTTGCAATCACTATGGCCGTCCCACAGGTTTTCTCATGAGCAGAAGGGCTTTGGGTGCTGCCGGTTCCCACTGCTTAACAGGATTCTTCATTCTTCTGCCCACTAAATGTTTATTGATTATCTCGCTGTTCCAGGCTCAGCCTCCAACAACTTAATATCAGGTGACAGTCGGGAGAGTTCTCCACGTAATTAGAGTTGAGCATTGGGGGAACAATTAGGAGCAGAGTTATTAAACTTGATTTATCCTATTCTCTCCTGAACAGTTTCTGGGATATCAGAACATCACACGTTCACAATCTACCCTGGTTGAGAAATTAGTGGCGAACCTGCTGCTTATCATTGTTGCCTTGCTGCCTGGAGGCACACCCTCTTGGCTTCAGTCGTTTGGTTGGAAATATTAGAGTCCATAAAGTTTATCATGGGCTTTAATTAGATCGATCTGAACCGGAGGAGAAAAGACCTGAAGGGAACACTATACATACGTGTGTTATATATGACAGGTACATATGTAAATATGTATGATGTTGACTGTACGCACACACACACACACACACACACACACACACACACACAAGGGGCTTCAAAAGGCTTGTGGAAAAAATGGAATTGAAAGATAATGAAATCTTTCCATGAACCTTTTGAAACCCCCTCATATATGATGTGTACCAACCCACAAACCCAACCCAACCCACTGCCTTCCATCGATTCTCGATCATTATGACCCTATGTAGGGTTTCTGACTCTGTAAATCTTCAAGAGAACAGCCAGCCTCATCTATTTCCTGTGGAACAGCTGGGTGGGTTGAACCACTGACCTTGTGGTTAGTAACCCAGTGCCAAACCCACAGCACCGCCAGTGCTCCTTCTACGATGTATCCACATATGCAAATATATTCCTTTCTCTTTTTAAAGCTGTGAGTGAAGATCTTTAAATATTCTACTTTGTTCAACAGCAAAAAAAATAGGTAAATAATAGGAAACCACTTATTTTTAATGCCTTGGCGTATTGTACATGCAAGTCTTCATCAATATTAGGGCCATGAATATGTCATTTCTATCATGATAGCACTCGGCTCTTTAAAAATGAGACGTTCCTGTTTATAAGTTCTACAATTGATTATTCTTTTCTCAAAAGCCACAGTATGTTTTAGATTCACAGAATATGTGCGTTTGTTCCCCCACCCCCTGTTTTTATACCACCGTTGCCTTCTTTTCTGTAACATCAAAGCCCAGGATAAACTCTTTAGCCACACCTCTGAAACAGAGACATAATGGTTTGGTGGCTCCTTCTCACTGCTTCTGGAAGAAGCAAATGCAGACCAGTGGAAACCAGGCGGTCTAGATCGAAACACAGTACACGCAAATCTTAGTACTGTGTGAGGTCTTCTGTCACAGGTACCCCTGGATTGCTGAAAAGTCCAGTGTAGTTTATAATGATGCCAAGGTTCCGAGTTCTCCCACATTGCACTGACCAGCTGCAATCAGGACAAGGCTGGAGTTAATAGGCTGAAGCCCAGGTGGCCAACTCAAATGAACACCTCTAATCATACGAGTTACTGAGCAAAACAATTTGAGTAGATTGGTACGGATTTTCCATTTTTGTTGGAAAAAGAATTCAAGCTTTATGTATAACTGGTAATGGATCATTAGTTTTATCTTCATATCTGGAAAATGGCATTTTGAATTACCTGAAAGATGTCAGAAATACCAGCTTTAAAAGGACCAAAGTGACTTTGATTTTTAAAAATAAAGATATCTCATGATATGTCAGCACCTTTAAATATCTCAATATTGGCACAAAATAAGCGGGTATAGCGTGATTTAAAAAAAACATCTGATTCTTTATCTTATTTTAGAGTTGCTTTGAATCAGTGACTATTCCCATAGTGGTATATTCTTAAAGATCTGTTAATCCTAAAGATTTAAAGTAAAATATGATACCCAATAAGCAATTACAGTTTGCTTCTTCTTAATTCTTTGACTTGCATTTTTCTGACAGTAACTTGACCGTGAAAAGGGAACTACAGAATTTAAAAACTTCTAACATTTTAAACTACCTGTTTGAAGCTTGCTTTCAATCCTCCAGCTTGAAGAGTGAATTAGTTGTAGCTTCATGTAGACAGCTTGGATTTGTTCAGCTACCCATTGTGAATATATTTATAACTATAATTCTGAGGTGCAGTGTGTGGCTAAACTAAGAAGGAAAAAAAATCAGGTTTATACAACCATTCTTTTAGCTTAATATCCAACATATTTAATTGAAAACCATTTGGTAAACTCTTATTCTAGACATTTTGTAGGCAAAAGACTTGAGATTTCCAGTGCTGAGAGAAGCTCCAATTTTTTCTACTCTTTGGGATCCTAGAATTTAAATGAGGTCCACAAAATGATTATAGAACTTTAAAAAATATGACTGACCGATTGAACTGTATGATGTCAATAAAACAGTTACAAAAAAAGAAGGCGTATAAAAAGGCTGCTTTAAATTGTAGGTTTCTGGTTAGACCCTAAATTTGCAAGAGTAAGTTTCATAATTATATCCTTAAATTTTATTGCTAAGTGAATATTGCAGGTGGAGGCAATTATTGATCTACAGAGTTTATGTTTCTATGACTAGGAAAATGTTTATGGAGCATAAATCATCCTCAATGCAAGTTTTATTCACACCCTTTTTTTGTTAGTTGAAACTTGTTGAACACATTTGTGTAGCTATTCTCGACAAATGTAGTCATTACTTAGAAGCTAGTGCATTTCATTGTGGAGTGCAATGTTTCCACTGAGATGTCTATAGCAGTCGGACTATTGTAAATATATTTAAAAGAAAGTAGCAGTGCTTTTTAATCTAGGGGTTCCTGCTCCCTTGCTGGAATCCATCGCCCTCACAATCTCTCTCTTCAATCTCTCTCTTACACACACCACTCACACACCGTCTTTAGGCATCTCATAGCTGGTGTTTTCAATAGACTCAATGTTTTTATTTTTAATCATTTTATTGAGGGCGCATACAACTCTTATCACAATCCATCCATCCATCCATCCATTGTGTCAAGCACATTCGTACTTTTCCCCTCCCTTTTCATTTGAAAAATAAATATAATTTGAGGTTATATAATAATCCGATCTATTTAGTACGGAATATTTCCCTTGTGGCATTAAAATAAAAATAAAATAGAGTTGTATTCTATGGCCAAACATCTTTCCAAATCCTATCAGTTCTATCATTTCTAATTAGGAAGTATGTAAAAATTTTTGCACGGATTTTGTTAAACCTTGATGTGTAATGACCCAAGTCTACTTCGCAGTCAGCCTGTACCCTTCTTTGTTTAATAGCCTGTGGTATAAATTGAAGTTAATTATCAGGGCTGACAAGCAACTCTGTTCTCTGTCTGCTTGCAGAGTCTCTCCGAGGCAAAGATGGAGCTGAGAAGGAAAGATCAATCTCTGCGTCAGCTCAACAGACATCTTACGCAGCTGGAGCAGGACAAGCGCCGGCTGGAGGAGAACATTCACGATGCCGAGAGTGCCCTCCGCATGGCAGCCAAGTGAGCATTAGGACCTTGGGGAGATCACTTAAAACAGACCAAAGATCAATTCTTACTTTCATGCTCTGGGTTTTAGCCCTGGATAATACAGTGTTAGAAAACAAAAGTACAGCTATCTCTCTTTGAAATTCTCTGATACATCCTCAAAAAAGAAAGAAAAAGAAAACTCTGAACTCTGCTGACTAAATGTATATTTTATTGAGGGCCCTAAGTAAAAGCTACGTTGTCCTGTAGCCGCTGATTGTGTTCGGGGCTCCCTGTCGTAGGGATGCGCCTTGAACCCCAGCTTTTATTAGTGAGACGTCACATTCTTTATTCAGAAGCTTTTGCAGAGTGGTTTCTCTCGCATGTTCCTCGTCCTACTCTCCGCCCCATCTGCCACACTGTGCGCTGTATATGCTATGATATGCTAATACTGCAGGTGATGGTTTCGTAAGGGCATGCTGCTGTCGTATCGGCAGTGCGTCATGGCGTCCTCGTACATGCAAGAACGCATCGCTGTACACAGCACTGTGGTGAGTAGGAAAACACTAAAGTTTTCAGTGCGTGTGACTGGTTACATTCTTCAGTTCCACACTGCAGTGTTTTTACTTTAGCCAGGTAATCAAATTTACATTTGGGCAGTTGTTAGTTCCCCACATCAAAATCTATTGGCTTCTTTAAGACGGACTTTTGCGTAATAACATGGCTAAGAGAAAAATCAATGTATGCATTACAAAACACCTAATTTTCATGATCTGAGTGCTTTTTAAATTTGGAATTCTGGATTTACAAAAATTTACACATTCATCAAAAGTTGTGTTTTTTGTTTTTTGTTTCCTTTTGAGAGAGAAACTCTCTTATCAAGTCTAGAGATGGTAAGCTATGAATGTAGCCTATGGACTAGATCCCAGATGGAGAATCTGAAATCTGAAGAGACCTGAAAGCCTTGGGAAATGGCTCACACAAAATGAAAAACAGAATTGACACAAGGCCAAAAGATTGCTGTGTTTATACACTCACGAATAGTTTATTTTTAAACTGGGAAGCGGTTTATCATTACAGTAGTACTAGCTTACATTGTGCTGTCTTTTAAAATCGATTCAACTTTATCCGTTTTTTGCTGTCATTGTTGAGGCTCAATTTCCTCATGTGAATTGAGGGGCGTGGCCTACCTAGTCTCCAGTGTATCTTATAGCTCTGAAAATTCTGACATCACTGAAACACAGTTCTAAAGCTTCTAGAATTGTAGTCTGTATCTTCAAAACATGGCTGTTTATTTGGTATTTAAGAGCCCCTAATAAAATGATCAAAAAAAGAAAAGAAATTGACCATGTGCAGGTGTGCACATGGTCTTAAAAATCTAATGAAAGTGCATTCGAAACGTGGAGAGCTAATACATTATTTATTTACAGTTTTCAGCTTATAATTTACCATTAGATTTTTGTCTTCTTCATTCTCATTTAAACTTGTGGATTCATTATATTAAAGCCAAATTCAATATGCAAGACTGACAGACAATTCAACCAACAAGGTCAAGAAGCTGGAAACTCGGTGTCTTTCTGGCCAAGGCAATTATGATAGCACCCACAGCCTAGGTCAACAGGAGGATGTCCTGCATAGTATGGCCATTTGTAATATGTGTAAGTCCCCTCAGTAAGATTTTGAAAGTGTTTTTTTCCCATTAGAAATCAGAATCATAAGGGTTTTAATTTTCTCAGCATGGTTTTCATGGTCAGTAATGTAAGCATGCTTTTCTCCCCCCTTTCCTTTTTCTTTCTATTTTTAGACTTTGAAAATATTCTTCGGGTTTTTTTTGCTTCCTCTAATTTAGGACAGCAACAGATTAAATGTGGAAATAGATGAGTGAATATAATCAGATTTTTACATTTTTAAAAGGGGAACGATGATGAGTAACTTCAATTTTAAAAATAAGGTTTGAGTTTTCCTAACACTCTGTCTTTCCTTTATCTTTTCTAGAGACAAAGAATGTGTTGCTAATCATATGAGAACAGTAGAAAATGCGCTTCACAAGGTAGTGTTAATTTTCCTTTATTGTTAATCAACTTAAGTTATAACTGGTTCTGTTAAAGATAACCATAATTATCTTTATTGAAATCATAGGAATATACTTTATTCTTTAAACTTCTCTAAATATAAGTGAACAAAAATATACTCTTACTGCTTTTCTTGACCAAAAATGTACATTAAATAATGTAAATTATAAATGTTCCCCTCAGGACTCATGTATGTTCTTGATAAAATTATGAAAGTAGTGATTTCCCCAAACTGGTATAATTCACTTGGAGTATTTGTGGTCTTTGCTGAATGAACCAGAGGTCATTTAGGTTTCTCATATATCTCATAATCATAAAATGTTTAACCACATTGTCTAACCTCCTGCCACTCTTAAACCCACTGTCCTGTGTGTGTGTGTGTGTGTGTTTATTTTATGTGTGTATCTATATATCATCTATCTATATAAAGGGACTTCAAAATGTTCATAGAAAAATTCTGTTACCTATCTATTCCATTTTCCCATGAGCTTTTGAAGTGCCTGTGTGCGCGCGCGTGCGCGCGCGCGTGCGCGCGCGTGTGTGTGTGTGTGTGTGTGTAGGGTGAAGAGAAGAATTTGTGCTAATGTGTTGTTGTTGACTGTACTTATATACCTTAATTAGGCTTTGGTGTTATTTAAGTTTAAATTTACCTTCCTCCTTTGTAGAAATAAAGTAAAATACAACAAACAAATAAGAATAGATTAACATGGAAATTTATTGTATTAAAGTATTTTATTATCTTTCAAATTGTATTACCTCTGTATGATAAACTCAGACTTCTACTGTAATGATTAATAGCATTTTAAGATTATTCTGAAAAAAGATTATTCTGACATTAGTAAGAACAATATAACTCTGTATTGTTAATTGTATATATTTTTAACACTCCAGAATCAAGGATATGTTAATTTTTCATTACTTAAAAGTAGAGAGATATTATTAATATTTTCATTATCATCTGATATGAAATTTGTTGGAAATGTAAACACCTTGTAGTTTTTAGATGTGCCTAATTTATCATTTTTCTCATGTGAGCTAATCATATTGAGAATAATTTTGTGATTCAAAAGTATTACATAGTTCTGTAATTTGCTTTAAACATACCCTGGAAATCAGCCATTTTAGAGATGAGTATTAGCAAGCTGCTCCTTCATGTCTGGCTCTGTGTCATTTAGAGGAGCCCTGTTGAGTAGTGGCTACGAGTTGGGCTGTGATGCACATGGTTGGCAGTTGAAAACCAACAGCAGCGTCCTCGGGGAAAGAGGGAACTCTGCACTCCATAAGAGTGACAGTCTTGGGAACCACAGGGCTGGGTCACCTAGAGTCAGCATGGACTCGATGGCAGTGAGTTTGCTTTGGGTTGTCTGGAGTTCTCTTAGATGCTCCAAGTCATGACCTCATGTCATTCCACCAAAACATTTGGAGAAAATCTAACATTTTCAGTGCTATATTTATTTTCCAGTAATATTTGTTAGAATCTATGCGTTATCTCTCCCTTCATTAAAAGAAAAATGGTGTAGTGCGTTCAGCACTGATGGTGCAGGGCGTTCAGCACGGGGCTGCTAACCACAAGGTCTAGCCAGTCAGTATCCTTTAAGAAGTCACATCCGATCCATTATGCTATGAATCTGAAATGTAGGTTTGTAGGGGGCGGGGGCAGAGAGAGAGAGAGAGAACTCTTTTACTTAAGGAGACCTTGGGTGGCTGTGCAGAAGAGACTGCCCCACAGGGCTCTCAAGGCTGCGACCGTTGTGGGTTGGCTGCCAGGCCTGTCTTCTGTCGCCAGTTTGGTTAGTAGTTAGTCAAGTGCTCAGACACGAAGCCCCTCCTTGCTGTGACATAACCCTTTTAATCAGAGAGTGCTGGCTTCGGTCTATCACTTGCTCATCTTTGCAAACTGGAGTTAAACGCAGCTTGTTGGCTAACGGCCGTCCTGAGGAACGGAGTCCGGATGACAGCGTGAGCAGCCCTCCATATGCAGTCTGACGACCATCATGTCTCCTTTCTTGATGGGAATGGTAGCACAGGTACTGCCACTCTAATACAGACTGACTGTAGCAGGGGGTTCCACGTACAGTGTTTTAGTTGCACTTCATCTTTTGGTTTTAAAGGAATATGGAAAGATGTCTGCGAGACTGGTCCACAGCCTGGGCAGATTTATTTTATACCTTTTTCCCTTCAGATGTAATAGCTGATTTTTTTTTGCATTTATATCTTCAGAAAATTTTACTTATATAGTGGCTCTAAAATGATCATTTATTTTTCAAGTCTGACGTGAATTCAGGAAAGGCTACTTGGCCAGTGGGGCTCATTCATTCTCCTGTCAAGAGTGGGCGGGGATGAGTGGGGTATCAGACAGTGGTCCAGAGAATCCCTCTGAAGCTCTCAGGGGAGTGCAGGCCCATCTGTTTTCATGCTGGAGTTTACAGGTTGATTTTTCTGGTTACTCTAGCCAAAATAATCCTAGCATCAATGACAGAGAGGCTTCACCTCATGCACTTCGGACATGTTATCAGGTGAGGCTAGCTCCTGGAATAGGACATCTTGGTTTATAAAGTGGAGGTCTGACAAAAAAGAAGGAGACCTTTGATGAGATGGAGTAACCCAGTGGCTTCCACACTGGGTTCAAACATAACGATTGTGTGGTTGGTGCAGGACTGGGCAGCGATGCCTTCTGTCATGCATAGGGTCGCTATGAGTTGAAACCAACTCGGCAGTGCCTAACCACCACCACCACAACCATCTTCACCACCATCATCACCACCATCATCACCAGCGC